ATATCATGTCCTAATAAAGATAGCCAACAAGGAGTTCGTGGCCATGAAGCCGAAAAGTCAAAATAGAAATGGGTGATTGATTTGTCTGCCAGGCTCTGAAAGGAAGAGTTCCCATGATTTCCTCTGGAAGATGCATTCTCCGTATCGGAAATTATATGAACATGAGAGAGACTATTGAAAGTCTCACCAAAAAACCCTTCTTCTTGGAAAATTTGGGTCAATGCACCTTCAAGTGATGATTTGGTACTTTCTTGTGTGTTCCTGGAGAGTACATGCTGATATCCAGCAGACATCTTGTAAGGTGATTCTTTCAATAGTGTATTTAGGGCTGAGATTGCAAGTATTCTTGTCTGAGGAAGTTGACTTTTGAGATTCTTCAGGAAGTGACCTGACCATGCATCAACAAGACAACAATAAAGTTTGGACAGGTAATAATAGTTGAACATAATCAACAGACCTTTCCTGCAAGAATCTGAACAAACAATCCTCAAACCAATTAGAACACTAACCAGCAGTTTCACTCAAAATTTTGGAAGAAATGTTCGGGTTATTTCTAGAGGCCATAGCCAACAAGAGCAGGACTCTATTGGCCATCAGATTGTACCTGAGAGAAGGAAAAAGAAAAATAAGCCAGTCCTAGAATATTTCAAATCCAAGATCCAAGAAACTAAAATGAATTGATGATAATGGGAAACATCAATGGTCTGCGTATAAATGCATGATAGTTTGTTGGAGGCCAAAAACAACTATGGCACAAACAAATAATATCCAGTAGCCAGCAATTTTACTAGCAAAAGAAAAAGTAGCCAGCTAGTTTCTTGCAAAAGAAAATAGCCAGCAAGTTGGATCCTTACCTCCATGCAAGCTAGTCGAATCAAAACTCATAGAACTAATTTGAGAAACTAGATCTGTAAAATCTGGTGCATCTACGTGATTGTCCAAAGCCCTGAATATGTTTCTGGACACTCCCGCAAAGTGAATGTTGTACTTGACAAAAAGCTGTCAACGAAAAGAAATTGTTAACCAAAAAATTGAGGGGAAAAAAATTCCTCTAAAGATATACTGAAAGATTTTACCTCATTGATCGCTTTCTGAGCTTTCAGTGATTCATGATGAGAACTGAAAGAGATGAAAATATTACATAAGATTAGTTTATATGATAAAACCTCATGAGTGTTAATATAACTGAAAACCAAGGACTTGCAGAACTAGGAACTTAAGGTCACCTTGAAAGAATTCCAAGGAGAAATGATGAGAATGCCTTTTGATCCTAGAATCACAGAAGAAAATATAAGAAACAGTGTACACTTCTGAAATATGTTATAATGTTTTATACAGAATGATTACCATTGTCAAATGCTTGAGAACTGTTTGGGTTGAAAGAAGAGCACAAGAACCCAGAACAGCATATTCTGGTGTGCTGGGGTTTAGCAGGTTCTGAGTAAGAGAAAGCACACATTTGGAAATCAATGACGGCCATCTCTTCATCATCTTCAAGAGAGTTTTTCCAGCAAGCCTGGAAACCAAGCCAATAACTTCACATAAGATACAAAAAAAACAACCTTCCGTTTATTCCTTTGCATAGGACAGGAGAGGAGCTAAATCCAAAAGAAATGATAAAGTAAAAGGCCATGATTGAAACCTTAAATGACTTGATATGAACCAAATTCATGGAACAAGCAGATAAGAGAATCTTATTACATGGTTATTAAAATTGTAAAAGTCACAAGACCCAAAACAGTGAATCCATAGTCAAACAATTTACAAGTCAATGCATCACAGGATCATAAATTATCAGGGACTCACGCTCGAACAGTCTCATAGCTATGCAAAGAGAGCTTTAGGAGATCCTCCATCAAAAGAATCATATGGTCTGATGCAGAAAAATTCCCATTTGTTCGAAACAGATGATATGATGATTGTGATGATCTCCATGTATTGTGCATATATGCCTTGTCAATAAGTGCCCACCTTGGTCTGGAATACAATAAAAGGCTCATAACTTAGATTTCAGTACTTTACTAACTGTTCAAGCAACAATCCAGCAGTATCTCAGGAAGGGAGTTCCTACCTTCTCTTTCCCTTAGAATGAGAACCCACAATAAAATTCATTGGAGGTTCTATAATTGCAGCAGATTCCAACTTCCAAGCCTGCCTGTGATTCGACCACTCATCATATTCTAAACTTCCTGGCAATATGTCAGGGAAGAAAACTCTGTGAGGCGGACTGACAATGCTGATGTAAAAAATATCTAGCAAAACTTCAAAGAGCCTTAAATCATCTAGCCAATGTTCATTACCATAGTTCCCCAGGGCATCCATAATACGTATGATGAGTATCAGCAGGATACTATCATCTGACTTTTCCTCTAACAAATATCTGTCACCGTTGCAAATATCAGCATTGATCAGTGATTATACCCACCTTAATAATATTCAAATTAACAATGAATATAAACCTTACTTGCAGGCTGCATGTATAATCTCAGCAGCTTTTTCCCTCAGTTCTGTACTGCCAACACGCGAGCCAGTTGCACCAGCCATTAAAAAGGAAGCATGAGATGGATCTTCAACTGTCCCATTCCTGGATGATGGCCTGAAATCAGGCAAGCAAGATAAAACACCTTGCAGAGAAGAATCAATACGCAGAAGAGTCACTTTCAAATGCTCTTTCTCATTCCCTGCATCATAAATTCCATAAGTGATATAGTGCCAGACATCCATAAGATATAAGACAATGAAATTCTATTTTTTTTTTTTTTTAAATAAGAACTTCTAAATAATATGATGTAACTTCTAAATAATATGATGTGAAAAAAAAAATACAGAAATGTACAATTAATAGCGTCTCAACATTTGTCACAGAGATGATAGTTGACATCATCATACAAAAGTTTTTTTTTTTGAAAAAAAAAATGAAGCATAATAGCTCAATAAAACTGTTGTTCTTAAGCTAAATTTTCTGCTGCTACAGTATTCCACAGAAGATGAAATTACCCAGATCAGAATGCATTTTAGTTTGGGATATTCTTAGAAAATCATCTAAAGCTGATTGAAAATGATGGTTTAGAAGTTCTTCAGCAAATTTAACTTCATCATCGCTAGGAACATGCCATTTGGGACACATGTTGGGTTCATCAGTGGTGTAGTCTTTTGTGCTAATCCAATCCTCCAATGCAAAAGCGGCAGGATGACGTAAAACACACCTAGTCGGAGATCAAAAATTTATTTCAAGGAGATTTTGGATATAAAAAAAAAAAAAAGAAGTGTGATCACTGTTATTGAGGTAGCATACTTGTACTGATCAATAGGATAATAAAGAACCAGGCTCCCAAGGAGAGAGCGAAGAAGATGATCACCAGCTCCATTAACCTGTCATTTTGTAACAAACAGAATAAACACAAAGACCAGGGACCTATGATATCAGTTAGTTATACGGATAAGAGCATACAACTGAATAGTATAAGAATTTCTGGGGAAAACTGAACAGAAAATTAGTATTGAAGAATGAAAAAACCTTCCAAGACGGAGAATCAAATGCAGAAAAAATAGCTTCTTTGAATTGATCCTTATAACGTAGAAGTGTATGACCTCCATAACTGATGGCAACTGATAATACTTTCAACTGATAATCAATTGCTGTTTCAAGAGCTGGAGAAAGAGTTGCCTTTGCCTAAAGAAGAAAAGAAGATAAAGATTTAACTAGAGTCATTGGAAGCAATGAAAATCTCGAGGAGAAAACAATTAACAAGTAGGATCCAGAAAACCTTGGTCAAAACTGATACATCCAGACTATCTCTTCCACCATATCCTGTAACAGGAGTTCCTTCTAGAGAGGATATAACAGATGAAAGGATTGGTTCAACAAGATGAACGGCTGCTTCTTGAGGATTTGAATGAACACATGCACAACAAAGTAGACCAACTTCGGCAACTGCTCCAGGAAGAATATTTGTCCGCACAAACTTAGAAATTTTCTTCAAAGCCTGTCCAGCATTAAAAGAAAAAAGTTTACCAAAATACTTCCCTGGAAGAAGCAACTGAACCGAACATTTGAAGTCAAGTCACGACTGACACCTGATTATATAGTGATTTTGAAAGCCTGCCAAGCAAGATTTCTAGCATGCAGTAGTAGTAAGGACCATCTTCGACCAGGAAAGTTCCAGTTGTTGGTGATGAATGTAGGCCTTCATTTCTGCAACATCAGATCCCATAAACAATGAGTCAAGGATAATGGCCAAGGAAAAAGGTGAAGGAGGAAGAGACAGAGAAGAACCAACAAACAAATAGATGCAGGGGAACATAATCCAATACAATGAAACAATCATTCAAGACCATAAAGGGGCACGAAGGAATGCCACACTCACACAACACTGCCGGGCTCCAAATGTAGAAGCAAAGAAAATAAGCGACATAAGAACTCATCTAGCCATTCAGAAAATCGGATCATTGGCATCAACGACAACTCTTCTACATCATCGTCAAGCATAGCCATCTGCAATTATAAGTGGAACATGAAACTCCAAGTTGAAGTATGATTGATCAAATGATGTTAGAAATGTTTTGGAAGAAATGAAGAGCTCACACTCGAAAATATGGAACCGATAAGTTGCATGGTTGCTGAAGTTTTAGGAGGATCATTGGCATCCATACCAAGTAGTGCATTTGAAAGTGAAACCATGAGAAGATTAATGAACATTTCACTATTGACACCAGCACCAAGATTATCCGGTTGAAGTGAAGAAGCTGATATAGATGTGAGAAAAATTGAACGCGAGGCAAATGCTACTGATGTTACAGCAGTTTTCAATTGGTGAGTGGCAGTTGTCTGACTAGACATAAAATTTAACAGAAGAGATATTAATCAAGAAAAGTCACAGCCAAAGATGTGCGAATAACTACCAGTCAATTAAGCTCACTAAAGAAGCACATGAATCTTTTTGCAAGGAAAATCTCCCACAAGCTAATATGAAATTCCATCATCTAAAGAATTCATGTGACACCACTAACCGTTTCCAAGGCCATATGGAATCGAGACTCTAAGAAAGGAAGAACCAAGGAGGGCTCCACGTACGACAAAATGGAAGTTGCAGCAGCAACTGTCTCAGAAAGATGTTCATTCTTGCTATATTGACCACGGTCAATTAATTTCAACAATGCATTAACAAAGGAACTTCTTTCTGATTTTCCTAGATAAGGTTTAGCTTGATCATTATCTTCTCCTTTCCTGCCAGCGAAGTTATCTTAGCTGAGAGAGTCTAAATAAAATGCCAAAGCAAATGCTGAACAACTATGTCGTCATGTTATTAAACTCTTACTGCTGCTCGTGCTGTAAACGCTTCTGGAATGTAATTACCAAATGAAGCAAAAATCTTTCCAATGAATAAGTCCATCGACCACCATTCGAGGGATGGTAATATCTATAAATATAAGCACAATAACAGCCAATGAATAAGAATTTCAGGAATCCAGAAAATCTAGAAATAAGAAATAAAACATTAAAATGTCAGTAAACAAACTGTTCTAAGAGGTTGACCAATTTCTCGAAGTGCTCTTGGGCTGAAGTATCAGGTTTAATCAGATACACCTGTAATTGCAATTGTGCAACATAATAAAACATTAGCAACCATATATAGAGATAATAATTCAAAGAATCACTTAACATGAAGATGAAGTTCATAATCCTACAATTGATTTTGCTATAGCTTTTGCTGGGGTGACAGTTCTATTCGAGAACAAGAACCTTGTATTTCTTGGAACATCCACAGAAAAAGGATATGATCCACTTCCATTTGCAACAGGAACCTGGAATTGCAAGACAGAAGCATGAAATTGAGCATCAGCAAAATCCAAAAAGTTTCAAATTTACTTTCATTTTCCTGCGAAGCCCCTTGGCACTTTATTTCAGGAGTTGGGCATACATTTTATTTTGGCTATCTAGACCTTTATCCAGTTCAATATATGATACAATTCTTTTCCAAAAATAATTTCCCTGCTAGCACATTTAAATGACTTAACCCAGGAACATCAAACACATATTAGATCATACTCCAAAACACTTTGAACGATCCAACACACCTCAAACATATTTAAAAATCTACTGAAAAGCGAAGGTAGGAAGCACTCCCAGTTGATAAGGCGGTAGTTCTTTATAACCCTAGCTATAACGGCAGTCCATTGGCTGTTCCAAAATTGGCAATTTGGAATTGTGTCCCACAGGTCCAGACATTTTTTAATCCAATCTCTGTCATTCAAAATAACAAAGTAAGCTTGCTCCCATAGTCAATGAAAAACCATGAAACGTCTACACGAACATATTACTACTTACTCTGAAAAGAATTCCTGGTTGTCTGGATTTGTTGGAAGAAACAGTCTCATAAAACCAGATCCTTCAAAGGATGAATTGTGCCACGGATTTTCCAAAAGAGATCTGCAAGTTTGTTATAAACTACTTAAAGGCAAGTTAAGCAACTAAGAATTCTACCATTAACACCTTTTTTTAGAAGACAATTGACACCTAATGATAAAATGTAATCAATTTCAACAAGTACTCTCAGGACCTAACTGAAGTATTGTCAAGACTAGGCACAACTAACAGCAGCTTAAATTATCCAGGTGACAAGACTAATTCCATACAAAGCTATCTTCTCTTCAGTCTATCAACCTAAATGAATATTAGAAAATTAGCTAGAAATAAGCAACCACTGCCTTTTGCATGTTAAAAACAATATCTTTAACCATATAGGAATCATTTATAAGTGAGCAAAACACCATATAATTTCCAAAAAGAAAATTAGTGCATTAGCATGGACATTATAAAGTGGCATTTAAACTACAAATTAGACCAAATACATCATTAAATCCAGTAATTCATTCTCTGAAATGCAAAATCAAGAAATGGACCTTCAAAAGCCCCATAGAATTTACATATGGGAGATGTAACTTGAAACAGGTGAAGCAAATTTTAACTTATATAATAGTTAACAAGGTTTCACGCCACTTTGACAACATAGATGACCCTACCGATGGATATCCTGAAGCATCAGAATTGAACTTCATATTTTGATAGAGAAGTGTTAGGAAACTTGCATAAACTCAGACCATATTTCAAAGGCAGAACCTTGAGGAAAGAATCGCCTACAGGATCGAACAAGCGAAGTAACAGTCTCAAAATGCCGCTGTCTCAACCTCCACCCCTCTGGACCTGTATTCCTGGGACACATATGAAGTTTTAAAAGCAAAATGAAAAAACAAGGTAATTTAGAAGCAACGCAATCATATAAAACTATTAAGAGAACATAAAAAACAGTAACAATTTCCAATAACTATAAATTAAAATATTGAAAGGAAAAGAGAGAGAGCGAAGGCCTGCTTCAAATATTATATATATATAGAAACAGCTTCAAAGATATTGACTTCGAAAAGGAACTGGTTGAATTAAAGCATTTAAAGAATCATTGGCTTAAAAATTGCAGTAGGAATAGAACCATCTGGTTGAACCACTGAATCAAAAAAGGCAGTGGGAACGAAATCCTTCGATAAGATAACATGCCTTGACAATTTCATCAGTCTAGTTGGCAATATAAGACATATGAAAATTGAAGATTTTAAAACTCACCTTGTGAAATGTGTATGAATCAGAGTCTCATACAAAGGCCTCCACTGGACTTTCAAGGACAATTTTTTTCGGTACTTATTCAGCACTCTCACTAACACATTTCCCCATCTAACCTAATCCTCTCAAACAGAACATAAGTATTAGGCAAATACAAAGAAACAAAATGTGAACAAATGAAATTCTTTATGTTATATGTAATACCTGGGCGTAGAGATTGTGTTCTGATATATGGAATAATTCTAACCCAGTTTCCACGAGTGCATTCACATCTTCCAAGGATAACTCACTTTTTGCTTTTATAAATCTGCAAAAAAGTAGATATAATAAGACCTTAATCCGGCCCAAACTTTGTATAAAATTTAGTTATAATCGGCAGTGAATGACAGCTGATCCTCTATAAACATTAAATTTGAGCAGGAGTCTTCCATCAACCAATAAAATTGTAAAGGTGATAGCAATTATGATACTAAAGTTCAGTCGAAACCAGCAACATTTGTCCATACTACTAATATTATATAGCTATCCTTTGAACAAAATCTAGTAGTCAAGAAATAATCAATTATCCTTAGAGCTGGATATATGCAATAGGAATAACTACGAGTACCTCACCTCCTGGCAAACGTTTTAAAGAGTGTAATATCTTGCTGTATATACATAAAGGAAAATCCATGTGATTTCCAGCACAGTCAGTGCCTCAACGCCATTAACACCATGAGTAACAAGTACATCTGAATAGTTGTTTGCAACACTACTGGATGGTCAAAGTCGCCTTACTAGCCAAGTAGTCAAAGTTTGCCTCACGAGTAAACAAGAAAAGGAAAATCCGACTTTCTCTCTAAACTCGATACTCAATCACATAATTAACCAAAAATAAGTGAGGGCCAAGTTCAAACTTCTATTAAGAATAATTCAATCCCCTTCTATTAAGAAGTGATTGAAACTTTGTAAAAGGAAGAACAATTCATACCGAAACCAATCATAGCAAGACAAACAAACACACATTGAAGACATGTACGGAACAGGATAATCTTTTGTAACAAGCACCTGACTCGAAGAAACGAACCAGAAGTAATAACCATAAGTTAAGACCAGCAAGAGATGCACAATTATGCATAGACAGGAGCAAATTCATAAATTAAAGAAGAAAGGTAGACAATCATGAGTAGAGATGAACTGACAGCTCGATGACAGAGATCCATTTGAGAGTAGCATAGACGGATTCAGGATCGTCTGGTCGGTAGGATGTCTTTACGGAGGAGAGGACGCGAGAGAAGGCTTCCTTCTCTTTCTTGGTTTCCTCGGCGACTGGTGGCGGTAGCCATGCATTGTACAGATGCATCTCTCTCTGTGTTCGTTTCAGGCTTTGCTGTTAAGAAATGGAGAAAGCGAAAATGAATTTAGGAGGAAGCGAAGAGAGGTGTACATGGATACACACATATATCTATATATCTATATATACACACAGTCATTTTCTTGGGTTTCTTTTTTAACAAGAAAAACAGACCCAAAGTTTTTCCTTGCTGCTTTACCGACATCTTGGTACAGTAATTAATAATTTCATCTGTACAGTATTTATATTATAACCAAAATCATTTGTTTTTTAAATTTAAAAGTTCCAATAATTAAAAATTAATTATAATAATTTTGATACAAAAAATAAATTTATTTTATTTAAGCAATTTAGATGATAATAAGAATAAAAATAATTATCTTTTAAAATGATTAATTATCTGTTTAAAAAATATATTTTTTAAAATTATCTTTATGCTAATCAAGGAATATGTAAAAAATTTATGCTTTAAAATAATTTTGTAAATTTATATCAAATTATAACAGGAAAAATTTATAATAATGATTTTTTAAATAGATAAATCCCTAAAACACGTCAAAATAATTTAAATAATCGCAAATTTTTTAACATATAAAATATTATTAATTATCTTATAAAATATACATATAAACCCAAGATAAATGAGATAAAATTATATATGAAAATAACATTATAATTCAAAGTCAACTATACACTTTAACAAGGGAAGAAATAAAATTTTATTGACCAATTATTAAACGTATAAATAAAATTGATTTAATTATAGATTAAATATGTAAATCATAATTAATTTATGTGTGTCAACTTACTAAATTTTAGAAATTAAATAAAATTAAAATACATTTAAAACATAATCATACTTAGTATTTCACTTTTTAATTTAATGACTAATTAAGTTTGAATTTGAGACACAAAATAATATAATGTTTTTTAAAAATTTTAATAATTAAATAATTTATTTATTTATTTATTTATTTAATAGACATCAAAAGGGGTCTTGGTCTTGCCTTAGAGCTCAAGTTGGATTTGACAAAAAAAAATAATAATAATTTATGGAAAAGCGACTTTTTGATTCGGTAAAGACAAACAAGTCGATTGGATTACACGTTGCATTGTATAAGCCCTTTAAAAAAGCTACTTATTAAAAAAGCACTTTTTTTTCTTTTTTACAAATTTGGGTTTCCTGCATAGCTTCTGTCTTCTTGCCCCTTAATAGATCAACTTCAGATGGCGACCCACTAAAGAGAATCAACAATCTCTCACTCTGCCAACCTTATTTTTAAGTATACTTTTATGGGTTTTGGTGAATATATGTAAATAACTTTTGTATGTATTTAAAACTTGAATATAAGTATTGAACTAAGAAAATTGATGCATAAGAGAAAGAATATTATTAAAGTAGGTGAAAGTGAAGAGAAAGATACCTAGAAAGCTTTGGTAACAAGTTTAGTGATTGAAAAGGAAGTGGGAATTTTAGTTTGAATCTCCATGTATTCTCAATGTCTTTTCTGTTGAACCTTAGTATCACTTTTGGCATTACCCTTTGGGTTTGAGAGTTTGACATTGAAGTGAAGTAGGAGAATTTGAGGAATGGATTCCATATTCTGGGTATTTTGATTGATTTGATTTTGAGAACATTCTTTTATTCTAAATGCATATCTATCCTTTAATAATTTTTAAGTACTTTAACCCGATATAAGTAACGAAAATTTTAAATATTTTTTATATTATTTTTTAAAATAAAGACATTACATAATAAATTTTTTTATATATTATAAGAGTAGTGAAAAATTATAAACATTCATCGGTTTTAGACCGAGTTATATTATAATTGAAATTGATAAATTTTAATAACTTTTCATGTTAAATTAAAATATTATAGAAAAAATATGTTTAGAGTTTTAATTATTTAAAAATTAAATAATTACGTATTTGAATAAAGTAATGAATGTAAAAAAAAATTAAATAATTGTTCTTAATAAAAAAATTAATAAAATACAAATGATTATTACTAATATTTTACCGTCTTATATTTATACTATTAATTTTGAAATAATATCACGAGAATAATTAAGTAAACTCGTTAAATATATAATTAATAATTATAATTTTAAGATTCTAATAACCGGTGTACTTCTCATGTTACTAAATATAAATAATTAATCAGAATTACTTAGAGCTGCTAATAAACATTAAATAAATAATTATAAATATGTTTTAAATTGAATTAATTTCATATAACAGGAGAGGCACAAATTTGAGCCTCAAAAAGGCTTATTTATTAATACACGGAAGAAGCCCATTTGAAATGAGGCCCAAACAAGGCCTACGAATGTAACCGTTAACAATTAAAAAAAAAAACGGAACGAAATTGTAAAGGAAATCCGACCGTTAGAGGGCAAATTTATTAAAAAAAAATTGTTACCGTTGAGAATCCCAGGCGGTTTCCAACAATTTAAACATCTGAAACTCTTTGATTTCACCCACGAGAACAAAAAGGCAATCTTAAATCTTTACTAACGCGATCTTTCTGCAAAGCTTCAAGCTCTCATTTTCTGATTCTCTAATTTATTTTCCTCTCTGTTTATTGCATTTTAAGAAGTTAATTTATCAGATTTTTGCTTTCCATTCTCCATCAATGGCTGAAACGAAAGATGCCCATGTCGTAGAAATCCCAGTAGACGAAGAGCATCAAGAGAAACAACTCTGTGTCTCTGCAATCCATCACCATCCATTAATGGAGATCTCTCAGAGTCCCGGCCACCTCTTACTCCTCAAGCTCTGGCAAAGAGAGGAAGATCTCTTCACCCGGCGAATCACTCGCAAAGAATCCAGAATGGATTCCATCAAGCGAGAGATCTTCAATCTCTGCTGCTTCTTCCTTGTCTTCCATGGCTTCTTCTTGACCATCTTGTTCACTTCCTCAGTGGGTAGCACCGAGGAAGGAACCTGCGAGAGATGGTGGATTCCATGTCTTGTATCCTTGTCAACTTCGGTTGTGTTTGTGTGCTTGGTTCAGGCCAAGCTTTGCAGGTTCTGGAAGGTTTGGAAGCAGTTGCAGAGGGAGAGGAACGATTACCGAGCACTCGTGAGGTGCATCCAAGAGTTGAGAATGAAGGGAGCCAGCTTTGATTTGTCGAAAGAGCCACAGAGGAGTGGGAGGAGGATGAAGAGCTCCAGTGTGGAGATCAAGTGGAAGCCGGTCACTTGGTGTTCTCAGTATCTGATTACTATTGTTCTTGTTTGTTTTGCAGGTCTGGTTTTTCCTGCTTCCAAGTTTGTTCTCTGTGGGTTCTGATTAGCTAGAACCAGACCAAGACTATCCACCCACATCAAGCCTTCTTTATGAAAGGTAACATTTCTAAAACTTTTTTTAATTTAATGGAGATGCTTAAAACTGTATGAGCATCTGATCTCTGCAGACAGGTTCCAATTTAAAGGGTTCAACAGAATTAAATGAACCAAACGATCTCGATGGCTGTACAGTAGCAAGGTAATTTCTTTATTCAAGTAAATCAGGCAATTTGGTAGTATAAAATAATTGCTTATTGTAATGATCTTTTCTCAGACAGTACTACCATGCTGCTGGAGCTGCAATTCACCATGTCATTTTAGTTAGCCTTCAAGGGGATGAAGCATCTTGGTCCGACAACTGCTGCTGATCAGAATTATACATTGAAAATCGAGAACTGCTGCTCAGGATGCAAATGATACTTGAGGCGATTTTGATTGATTACTGCAGAGCTCGAATTTGCAATTTGATTTGTGTAGTGGATCAATTTCGTAGTTGGATTCTTTAGTAGGAAAATATGAACACCACTCGTGTGTGCTCAATTTTTGTAGTGAGTAAATTAATCTTATAGAAAGTATTCATTCAGTCAAAATTCCTGGCTGTCTTCTTGTGCCTCTTTCCCTCCACATGATGAATTTAATTGTAAATATATTTCATATTACAGTCAAAAAAAAACTGGGGGGAAATTATACTTTAGAACACAATGTTATTTTATAAGATCAGGAGCTTTCGAAGCCAAATATGCGGAAAACACCTGCAGTATAGGGCACAAAAATTAGCTTTCTATTGACACTGATGGATTTTATGCTAGTTATTAATAGGATAAAGAAGAAAATAAGGTACCTTCATCAGAATTATATTTGGGACTCTTGTCATCTCCTGCATAGGCAAGCAAATTATACTTGGGATTCCATTCGACACTGTTCATGGCAGCTCGACATGGAATCTGATGCACAGTTCTCCCAGTATGAACGTTTGACTGTTTCACATAGCAGAAATAGCAAGGTGTAAATTACAAGTAGGACCACCCTAATCAATAACAGAAGCCATCAAATAGAAAAGGAAAAGGGATAGAAATTTCTTGAATACGTACTATATCAATAAACAAGTCTTCACTGGCAGAAGCAATATAATCTCCCGTGTAGTTGAAGCTTATTGTCCTGACAGGCCATCTATGGGACCAGCAGAAAGGTTATTTATGATGAAGATTAAGACACATTTTAATAGAGAACTTTGGGCGAGAGAACTCACTCGAGTTTTGTGAATGTTCTCACACAGAGCATCTCCTTGATATCCCAAAGGCTGACTAAGGAATCAGCACTTCCAACAGCAAAGTATCTGCAATGGTAAAACATAAAAGAAAAGAAAAACACAGTTCTTTCAGCGACAACCATGAGTTTGAACATAGGCATCTCAATATCATTCAAATGGCTTTAAACCACACCTTCCTTTTGGATCGATTGCAATGCAATAGCAACCAGCTGTGTGAGCCATGAGGGTGTCCAGTGGCCGAAGAGATGGGTATGCCAGGACTTCAACAGTACCTGAGCATGAGGTGTAAAATTAACAATACCTCCAAAATTACCGAGTTAAGGTATTCAATCTAGACACTAAAACAAGAAACATATGGTAGCACTGGAAAAAAAAATTGACAATGGCTAAGAAAATTGTTCTTACCATTTCCAGTTGTTAAAAAGAACATCTCCCCAGTCATATTCCAAGCAATCTCATTTACCTGGTAAAAGAAGGGAAATCCATGTATGGGAATTATTGTAAGATAAGGAAGAAGTGATTAGAGTTTCCAGCAAATACAATTAATTCCATGCATCTTAAGAAATCCATCAGTTTTGCTTACTGAATTATAATGTAAAAACAGAACTCATATTGGCTGGTCATTCAAAATCAGGAAACAGAGTCACATATATGATACTTAAATTAGCTGAGCACAATTTATTCAAAAAAAAAGTACCTGAGCACAATAAGAAATTATCTAAATGGAGTTGCCAAGAGGGATAAAGATAATATACAGCTTCATGTTTCAACATTATATTTCAATGTATAATAAAAAGAAATGAATCTAATTTTTCATGGAATAGCAATAATATATAAAATGAAATTAATAAGAAAATTGTTTTAAGATGATTATGTTTAGCCTTCACTATGCTTATTTTGGTCTGGATATTAAGGCCATGACTGCAGATAGTTTCTAGAACTAGTATAGCCTTTTTATGAACTCAACTCCTAAGCATCAACTCTTATGAAATCAAATGAATCTGAATTTTCATGGATTAGCAGTAAAATATAAAAATGACATTAACAGAAATTTACTTAAGATGATTATGTTAGCCTTAATGCTTATTTTGGTTTGAGTATTAAGGGCATGACTGCAGGATATTTTCTAGAGCTAGTGCAGGTTGTTTATGAACTCAACTTCAAAGTGAGCTCTCAAGATAAGGTTGAAGATGCCATTCTTAGGAGAACCTCACAAGATGAAAGAAAAGCAATTTGCACAGAAGCTAAGGTTACCTCGTAATTGAACTTGCGCCTATGAATTGGCTTAAATTTCCGAACATCCAATATTGTCAGTTCATCATCCTAACAATATACAAAAAACAGATAAACAAAGGCTACAAGGTTTCTCATAAATTTCTAACGACCACTGCTCTGCAAACTGTGACCATAAACCAACTGTGATACAATAAATGCAAATACAACTGAAACGAGAATGTAGGTATTTACCCTATTTCCAACAGCTACATGTGAACCATCAGGTTTGTAGGTGATGTTGATATTCTCTCCACTAAGTTCTGCCTGCTGAGTACACTTTCCACCTGGATAACTCAAAAAGGCAAGAAAGTGAGCATTCCATTTCTGAAAAACTAGGAAATGAACTTGTTAAACCACCAAGACATCCAGTATTTTCAATATTTGGCCTTCATGTGCATGTAATAGTTTATAGATAGAAAGATGCATGGTCATTTTTTATATTTGCTCCACTTGTTTTGTACTTCAGCAGCATCTCCTTGATGCCTTCTTAATAAATTCACTCATTTTCTCTCAAAAAAAATCTGATGTCAGAAATTTGAAACGAAATACTGGTAGGTTGCTTCTCAAGTGCCAAAAAGGTTGAAAATGAATAATCACAATATTCCCAATTATTGTTAGATTTATTTTTAAATAAAAATTATTTTAATAATATTTTCTCACTTGTTTAAAAAAAACTTGGCCCTACTTGTTGATATAAACTAACTTATTAGATCTAATAATCAGTGAAGATAATAACTTAACAAAAACATTTCAATCATGATAGCAGGTGTTATCATGGCTGCGACATGATATTGATGCAACCTTGACTCAGGATTGTGGCAACCTAAGTGATCCAAATATGCGGTCAGAATACCATTGTTCTCCACCAGGTTCTGTAACTAACATAGCTCTTAAGATCATGCAGATGCACCGCGACCAACATGGCAAAGGCTGTGGCTGTAATTTTGTTCCAAGACACAGCTGCAATCTACATGGAACATAACCATTAGCTGCCCCGGAACGCTGTCTACATCTGGCCACAGGATGCAGCCAATATCCAGACATCTGCTGCATCTTTATGACTTGTTGCCATGGCTAGCAATGCTAGCAAAGGAACAGACACAAGTGGAGATATAAAGAGATAATCTGAAGTGGGCTTTTGTGCTCTCAGATGCCCACTTAAACTTATCCTGAATATCGATAAAACTCGTTGAGTTACCAAAGAATTATGCCGATGAATTTTAGAGGAAGCTTTGTATTCGAACTCCCCATTTAAATTCCAGCACATACTCTATGCTACATTGGGTTCATTCCCCGGTCAATTCTAGTTAATACTTAGTTTTAGCCCTCATGTTAATCTAAATATGTATATATTAAAGGTAATTTATTGTGCTTGAGTTACTACCCCTGCCTTACCTAAGATTATTCAATTCTTAGCTTTCAAGCATATCCTGCATGTTGGTTGAAAAAGAAATGCTAGCTATCTTCCAATAAGTGTAAGAGAATCGAGAACTTCTGAATCACTTAACAACGTCAAAACTAAAACAGCTTAGTTAGTCCTGTCAATCTAGTTATCTAATATTCTAATGCAGTAGAGGATTCACTTACTGCGAGCATCCCATAATCGAACAGTCTTGTCACCAGATGCAGTTGCAATCAGGTCAGCATGTTTAGGGTCCCAACACAATTGATCAACGCTATCAGTATGTCCCTTCAGTTCAATATCTTTGACCTTACCCTGCATCAAACATCCTCAGACCATAAATTTATAGCAGTAGCAGACACAATAATTAAGGTAAACCTTGAGCTCTAAATCATAAGATTAAATCAACTGTTCAAAAAGTAATGTACTTGGCAATTAAGAAAATTGTCATGAACGTCGATTCCTTCTGACCATGGCCTCGCATTTGAATTGAATTTATCACCATAAATTAAATCTTCTGACGGGAAAATTTATGAAATTTCATTGCCTTCCTCGAAATTTAAATCTAACAGGATACACATTCAAGCAATTCGATAGATTCACAAAATTTGATCAATATATATTACATGACCGTGAGGCTCAATATGCCAGACACGAGCAGTTTGATCAACAGAACCAGATGCTAGCTTCGTTCCCGTGCAGTTCCAAGCTACCGAGTGAACCTTTCAATCCAAAAAAAAAAAAAAACAGACAAATACAATAAGCAGATAACGTAACTTCCTACAAATGAAACTAGGGTTTTGCAAGAGAAGAACCTTCTTTTTGTGACCTTGATGCTCTCTGCTGTACAGATTCTTAAAAGGAATTACATCTTCCATCTTGTCCCCGTACTACCTGAATTTCGTGATTGTAGCAAGACAAACAATACCATTTCCCGGCGGGAAAACAGCATATGTAGAGTCTAATGCTGGTGAAGCAGATAGCACTGGCTTCAGTTTTCGGACCTTAAACGAACCCGCTTCGTTAAATGGGTTCGGATATTAACCCGATTCACTCTGTTCGGAGGCCCGGAAGGACATAGCGTACCCGAACGATGATGAGTTGACAACTTGACATCGTGCCGAAATTAATGATTTATCATAAATTTTCGGTTATAAAAATAAAAGAAAAACTATATATTATTTTTTCATGTATTTTTTAAAAATATATATTATTTTAATAAATTAAATTTTATTTTTCTATCAATTGTTTTAGTACAATTATTTTTTATTATATTAAAACTATTGATTTTAAAATTTACTTCTTACCCAAAATAACTAAATAGTTTTTGTAAATTAATTTGTAAGTTCAATTTAATATAATTTAAAAGTTATTTTTTGAAGTAGAGAAAAAATATGTTGTCTTAATTATATTTAAATTTTTAACATAACAATTTTAATTTTAAAAATAATTATATTATCTAAAAATTAAAATAAATATAAACTTATCTGATAGTAATTTATTTTTTTCTAAACGTATTCTTATCATTTTAAAAGAAAAAAAAATACTTAACACACAAGTTAAAAATAAAACATGGTAAACAAAACTTGTCTAATATATTTGGTAAATTGATAATAAGTTTATGATTACTAGACGATATGTTTCTCGTTAAAAATATATGTTGCAAAAAATATATATTGATAACCTAATTAATAAACAAGGTTAAATGTATCATGAGTCCATTTCAATTTCTTAAGTTGTGATAGAGATACTATTTTCCTAATAAACATAGATAAAATTAAATAGACTTTAATATTAATCATAATTTTTCATAAATAAATAATAATTCTATTTAGTACTTTTATATATAGTTAATAAGAATAAAAAAGAATATTAATTAAATTTTTTTAATTTTCAATTATTCAGTTAATTAATAAATTCCAGAGTTTATCCAGTTATTAATTTAAAAAAAATTATTTATTATATTTATTTTATTCCACAAATATTTTATGTATGATATCTAATCTAATAACACGTGTTTAATTTTTTTTTTGCTTATTTAATATATAATTAACATACAACTATAACTTATTACAATTTTTATTTTATTATATTTTATTTTAAAAATTAATAATTTAAATATAATACTTTAAGTGTTAGCGTTTGATAATTATAAATTAAAATTAAAGATCATCAAATATTAGTCAATTCATTTAAAAATCATATATTATTTTGTAATAATTTGCAATTGAAAAAAAAATTATGTATTTAAATTTATTTAGACATACAAATTTTAAATATTAAAAAAATTAAATTATTAATATCACACAAGCTTAGACTCAAGGTGATTTAACAATTTTCATAATTGTTTTTTGTTGGGTATAATTGTCAAAAAGATATCATTTGACCTTTTTCTCTTGAATAATTTTTTTCACCCATAGCTAAAAATCACGTTTATTTAATTTCTCATGTACTATACATATATAATTGTTGTTAATTTATTATACAATTTAATTACAACTAAAAAGACCATTATAAGAAAACATAAATATCGTAATATTTAAATTCGATAATATACAAAAATTATTCTATACACAAAAAATATTGTAACACAAATACAAATCGTGGATGATTAGAGGAAAATGGTGTCACATATTTATTTTAATATTTGAAAATTTAGCGTAACATATATTATACAATTATAACATATATTATAAATTGTTTGCGTTTGATTAGCGTGATGTTTAATGATTAAACAAGAAAAAGCGAGAACTTGTTTATATTAACTTAAACTTTATAACTAATTCAAACTAACATAACTGAAGAAAGAAACCCAAACACCTATTGATCCAAGGAAGATAAAAATAAAAGCGGTAATTTTTACAGCGGTAATTAATGACTTTTGGAAGAAGAAAAGCGGTAATTTACTTCACCTACCACCAAACAAAAATAACAGTGCATGATTAATTTGAACTCTTTTAACTGTTTTACTCCGATCAGGGCCAGCGAAAAGTAAAAAAAGGAACACACAACAGACGGGAGGGAGAAGGAGAGAGTAAAAGAAAATTCACTACACCGACTTCACTAAACACTTATAATTAACCTTGACAAACAAGGCAGCTCATATCACAGTGGCACCATCTACTGGCACCACCAACCCGCCTATAAAACCCAAATTTTCCACCGACGACAAGATAAGAGCGAAGGGTGTGTATGAGAGGGATAATAGGAGAGCGTCTGGTCGGGATCAGCCCCACCACCGCCATCATCTCCACCGTTTCTGGTGGCAGGGATCTGACTCTGATTTCTTCGTTTTTTCTTTGATCGACAGAACATAACAAAAACAAAAAAGAAAATAGAGTAGCAGCGATGACGTCATCGGCAGGAGCTGGAGGGAGGTTCATGGCGTATTCGCCATCTCTCTCGGTACCTCACTCTCCTCACCTCGCCGGACTCCGCTCCGCATCTTCCGCTATCGCTGAGCAGGAGAAGTAATAACTCTTTCACTGTTCCTTTTTTGTTTCTGTTTATCTATCGGATTAATAATTGTTTACTTTTGTTTAATCGGAACCGAAGATGATCTAAATCACATGTTTATCCTGTCGTTTTACTAGGATCTAACCGTTATCCACGTAGATACGCGTGTTATTGGATCTCGATCTTTTTTATCCGATTTTGTATTGCTGTGTTTTTGTTGTCATTCGTGCGGCACTGATGATCTATCTCTATATTAAATGCGATTGTTTGTTTCACTTCCATGACTCTGGGCTACTCTGTCACTTTGTCAGCTCACATGCTAATCTTCATGTGTTCTTTTCGGGTTTTAAGAAAAATTGAATTCGAGCTTCTCTTTTATGCTCTTATATTGATTTTTGCAACTGTGAATGGGATCAATTACGTATCTTCTTTTTAAATTCTTTTATTTTTTGTTTTAGCGTTATGCAGGTCCTCATTCAGGTAATCTTGGAAAATTATGCTGAAGAATCTTACATATCATACTGAGAATTGTTACTTATTTGTTTGAATTTAACACAATTATGAAATTGAATGGTCTGCTTGAGTTTTGCATGTTGCTCTTCGAAAAAAATAAACATGCTTCCTCTTTTGATATTTAAATCGTGTTCTGGAATCGCCTTATGGAGGTGCGGATGAAATGTAGAATAAAAAAAATATATATGTATGGAATTGCGTAAAGAATAATAGATTGATATCATACTGAGAACTATTACTTGTTTGTATGAAGTTAACACGACTATGAAATTGAAGTCGTTGTCTGAGTTTTGCATGTTCTTGTTTTGGTATTTAGATTGTGAAAGTCTGGAGGAAATCCAGAATAAATGGGAAATATGGAAATAGAATTATATAAAGAAGAATTAATTAATACCATACTGAGAATTGCTAGTTTGTGCGAATTTAACACGTATATGTTGTTGAATAGCTCCGTTTGAGTATTGCATATTCTTATTTTGATATGTAGCTCGTGATTTGGAATGGTTTTATGAAATCTAAGTTGGAAAAGATGCATAATAAATGGATATATGGATATGGAATCGTCTACAGAATAATTAATTAAGATGGTCTCACCTTTACTTTCATAGTCATGTTACCATTTGGGACTATCGATATGATCTTCTTCACTTTCACACTCGTGTTACCATTTTGGACTATGATATGATCTTCAGCTGTGCTGTCAAAAATAGCCGATTAGCACTTGCATAATATATATATATATATATATATATATTATGTGAAACTCTATTTGTCCCACCTATATAACATCAAAATATCTGTTCAATATGGCAAGCAAACCAGATATGAGACATTTAGTAGCTTGGAAGTTTTATTGTATCCAAGTTTGTTATATCCCAGCCTTATATAACTGATATTTCTTCAACTTTCTTTTTAGCAGATATCTCTCTGAATTACTGGCAGAGCGCAACAAGATCAGTCCATTTATGCCTGTGCTTCCGCATACCTACCGATTGTTGAACCAAGGTTAGCTTCATCGTAGTCTAGTATACATCTTCTTTTGGCTTACAGGCTAATTTTAGGTGAATAATATTCAAAGTGTAATTGAGATGTATTACGGTAACAGCTATGAACTAGAGGCCGAGTATGGTACCAACTTCGTAGATATCATGTAAATCAAAAGAAATGACTCAGAAATTAATCAAAATAACATGTCAAAGTATAAACAAGCTACTATAGATTGAAATTGAATCTATCCTTTTCATTACTTCATGATCACTCTCCTAGGCTATTAGTCGCTGGGAATACTATTAATGTTCTGAAACAACTGACATTATCCAGAAAGTTATAGTACTCATACAAACTAAATCTCCTCCCTCTTTTTTTTTTTATAAATAAAAGAGAAGTGTATTATTATAAACAAAGATACCAATGGAGTACCACCCGTATACTAATTACATATCAGTCAAGTCCTGCAAATTTTTGCATTTGAAATTGGTGATTTTTCCCAAATTCCTAAGTAGATTCTGAATTGGATAGCTGAACCCACCAAAAATTGATTATCCATTGAGGTCAGAAGGAGACAGTGTACTGAACTTGATGGCTTTCATACTTCAGTTTGTCTCATTCAGTTGTTGTCATACGGACTGATCACTTGTTTGTTCAAGCCTCGCGCCTCCAACCCCCTAAATGAATATCGTAAAAAAGGGTTGTGAGTGATTGGAATTTTCTGAGGTGGGACATTGTCGCAAAGAAAGAAGACTCTAAGGTTTTTAAGTTTCTCATAGAATACTTATGTTCTAAATTGTCGTAGATTGGAGCCAACTAATGACGAAAAGTGTTTTGTAGCATTTTTGGTGTATCATTAAATATTTGCTTGCTATCTGCACTTTACGTTCTATACTCCCAAAAAAAAAAACAATAAGGAAGTAACTTTGACAGTATTAGTTTAGAGTTCCCCTCCCCCCCCCCCCCAAAAAAAAAAAACACTATATATGTTAGAGGTTTAAAGGAACAGAACAAAGAAGGAAAGAGAATTAGGAAAGACACAAAAGATAGAAGACTCTTGCAACCTCTTGGAGTGTTTCATATATTTAGGGCTGCATGTAATTAATTTTTATGCCCCATGTGACACATGTATATAATTTACTCTTAAGCATCAGAAGCATATAAAATTAAGTTCAGATGTTTAATTTTACTTCAAGGAAAAATAAGGCTACTGTAGGAAATTTAGATATAGTTCTTATATTCATGGGTAATATATATTGGAGAATCCTGAAATAACTGCTGTGCCATGGTTATCCCATTGCTAAATGCGATTATGCATACTGAGAGCTGCAAAGCAATTAAAAGTTTAGTGTTTTGCCTATTTTGCATCAACTTATATGTGGGGCTGGGCTATGGCTTGGTAGGTTGAATTCTAGGTTCTTGCATTACAGTATTTATAGGTTTGGCTAATTAGGGTATTGACTTGTATCCAAAAGGGGTGAAGTTTTATACAAGAGCTTTTAGGAATGAAAATTGAAGTTCTAGTCCTCAAGTCTTTCCTTTCTTGAATCTTTCTTCCCTTTATCCTTAATTTTATGATTTAAGCAAGCCAAAGTGGCAACTTTTAATTAGTATTTATTTTAAAGAACATCTTCTTTCCTGGTGTAATTCCTTTTCATTTCTTAACTTGCTTGAACAAACTAATCAATCTGGTTTCTTGTAAGAATGTGCAGCAACATCCATATATATATGTATATCCATGTATATATAATGAAATAAAACCAGAGTATGCATAATATTTCCTTCTTCATACCCAATTAATTGTTCTTATTAGATTGATTTGTGGGGAAGATTTGATTTTCACCAACTCAGTTAGCTTTCCGAGTTGTCTCTCCATTTTCTGGTGACTGCTAACAAGTTTATTGACAAACCCTAACCGGTACATCTTATTCTTGAAAATTGACATGTTTGGAGCAGAAATTTTGCGTGTAACCACACTGTTGGGGAATGCGTCAGTTTTAGGTCAAAGTGGGATTGAACATGCTAGCCCCCTGGCTTCTGGAGGACTATTTTCAAATGGAGGAGCTGATGCGAATTTATGGACAACCCGTTTTCAATCAGAAGTACGGACTAACCATTAACATAACTTCTTTCCCTCTAATTTTATTTATTATCTTTTTAAGCATTGCTGACTTAATATCTTGAGTTTCATGCCAAATCAATATATTATTTTTCTGAATTTTTGTAGTTCAAGTTGCTGCTATGACAGGTAGTCTGAGGCTAACATCAGGGGGCACTCAAATAGATTTTAATTTAGTAATGTATTCTAGAGTTTGGCCTCTAACTAGATGGTTCTCCATTCCAATGCCTCCTTATTCTCTGCACCTAATTTGATGGCATATTGGGCAAGAATTTAACATGAACATCAGTATCTGTTGAGACAGTAGGAGCTATGTCCATTGATCTTTGGTTATGCCACTAAGTTATGTTTTACTGGTCTTTGATTATGACATCCTTTCATGAAGCAGTTGGTTAGATCTCCCATCTTATGTGGAAATTGGTGTGGGGTTCATACTATTTGCAAAATGTACTAAATTACTTGGATATGTCGCTGTCAGCTTAAGATGGACTGTGGATCTTTTGGATTCCATTTTGCTGTCTTTTCTGATTAATGGTTGTAAAATATAACATTAGTTTGAGATATTAATCTTATATTTTCAGAAGATGAATGAAATTAATTCGTCTTTTTTACCATTTATTTTGGTCCCTTCAATTTTACCCTTTTCCAGTTTTTAGTTGTCCCAGGTTCGCACTTTGAAGTGTTTCTAAAAAGTCCTTGAATGCCTTGAAGGAGTTAATCTTATCTTGTTATGTTTTCCGAGTGATGCAAGAAAGTTGATATTGTCCTCAATAGTGTATTTTAATGATATCTGGAATGGGAATTTGCAGATATCAGGTTTAATGCAGCCCTCTCCATCACCAAATTGGCTAGGTTCTCAAAGTAGTTCTTCTGGTCTCATTGTCAAGAGAACAATCAGAGTGGATATTCCAGTTGAGAAGTATCCTAATGTATAAGAGAAGGAAACTTGCTGTGATTTTATTATTATTTTTTTTCTCTTCCAGTATCTGATGATGATTTAATGCTGCAGTATAATTTTGTTGGACGTCTCCTTGGTCCAAGGGGAAACTCTCTAAAGCGAGTCGAAGCAAGCACAGAATGTCGGGTTTTAATTAGGGGGCGTGGCAGCATTAAGGATCCAACTAGGGTAATGATATTCTTTCATATGTTTAAAGATCTTTCTGCATTTCGTAAATGAGAATCAAGACAGGGTTCTTGAGGTGCACCTCAAGGTGTGCCACGTAGAATGGCAGAAGTGTTAGTTTTGCAGTGAGACTCAAAAGAGCATATTCCTTTTATGCTTTCATAGGGTAGGCATAGACTCGGAAGAAAATCGTTTTAAAGAAAAAGAAAGTAACTGGATTTTTGAACATTTGGAATGTGAACTATAATACTAGGTTTATGCTTCAATCTTTCAGTACACAAGCTTTGCTTCATTCAGGATGCAGTGCTTCATCTCCTGTTTTCACCTTTAAAAACATTAAGTACAAGTAATGCTTGAAGGTTTATTTTGTTCGGTGCTTTTGGAGTTTTCAAACTCATTTTTGTGGTATATGCATGTTGAGGAACATGGTGAATCCTTGGACGAAACAGGATTATTTGCTTCCTTCTGAACTTAAATAATAAAATTGGAGTTGATGTTTTTAGTTGACGACTTCCTGCTGCATTAGATGCGAAAGTTGCTATGTGTTTTGTTTTCCCATTCTCCTCTTAGTATGTTAAAACTATGTATTCTTCTAAAAGATATTCTTTCTCCCACAGGAAGAAGTGATGCGTGGAAAACCTGGGTATGAGCATCTGAATGAACCTCTCCATATTTTAGTTGAGGCAGAATTACCTGTTGAAATAGTTGATGCACGCCTGATGCAAGCACGTGAGATACTTGAAGATTTGCTGAAACCTATAGTGAGTAATTGCCTTTTTTCTCTCATTTAGCGTTCATGTTGTTTATATAGGAAAAGTAGAAGTAATCTTGTCTCTCTTTTACTTAGGATGAATCCCAGGATTTCTATAAGAAACAGCAGCTAAGGGAGCTAGCGATGCTCAATGGTACACTTCGTGAGGAAGGATCTCCTATGTCTGGTTCTGTCTCCCCATTCCACAACAGCCTTGGTATGAAGAGGGCCAAGACCAGGGGGTGATGACTGTCCTAAGTGGGCTATGGAGCTTGTGTTAGTTTCTGCGGGTACACAGTGGTTCCCATACCATACACAGGTGTTGCAATGTCAGCACAAATGCCTCAGACTGCCATCGGGGCACTGGAACTGTTGTGTGCCAGTTCTAACTTGTTTCTATATGAAGTGTGTTCATCTCCTGTTTGGGAGAGCTTAAATACAGTATCAGGTAGTAACAGATCAGTTGGTTACTGGCGATTTACATTTTGTCGCTGTAGGCAACTTTGGTCTGAGCATTAGATCTCTGAGAGTATCCATGTATTGATTAAAACATGTTTTTAAGCTTGCAATGACAGTTTTGACACAGTGATGGGGATTTATGCAAGGAACTCCGAGGTGTGGTTTGCACACAGGAAGATCAGTCAGGCAAACCATGGTTTACCCTAGTGCATGTATTTGAGTTGAATTGTTTGTACTACCTAAGTGTAGAACCCGTTTAGATTTGTTTTTCGAAGTCATTCTTTGTTTTCCAGTAGAATTGTTTCTGCTTCTTTTCCCTTTTCCGTTCATTTATAATTTTGTTCTTCAGCTACATTTGTGCTGCTGGAGGATTATTGGGTCAGGAATCTTGTATGCCGGTGATCAATTTTCTACAATTGAGAACTTATGAAACCTAGAGACATGATGTCAACTAGAAATTCCAGCATTGCTGCAAATAAGGTTGTGATGACAACACAATCTTCTGTTAACGATCAAGGAAAGGAATTGGCGGAAGAGATTATCCACCCTCAAGTTCCCAGCTAGTGCAAGCAGAGATTAAATGAGCACTTGCAAGTTCCATCCTGGCGTGCTCTGTCGAGTGATTTTAATCCGAAAATGTTATAACCAATTTCTGATCCAAGCAAATAATTGATGAGGTAAATCCATTTATGAAATGACCCCGGAAGCGTACGGGGAAGTTAACAGACTTGATGAGATGTGTCAACTTGTATTTTAGCTCAAATTTGGCCATGTACTTGTGGCTACCCAAGAATATCCTATCAAACAGTATAAGGAACGCGATAGGTTTGTCTGTACTTGGAAAGATCGATCAGCATGCTTCAGCCTCGACACTCTTGAGGAGAACATCTCTGCACCAGGTAGTTGGAGAATGGTAGGTTTCATTTTCTCCCAGTATGCTGATGTTGAGATCTTACCAAAACACGTTGATAGGCACCGTATGCTAGCAATCACTTACATTTGCAAGTGCATATTCAACTATGCCATTTTAGGAACTTAAGAATCTCTGCTTCCTCCACTTTAGGATGTAATGGAGTTATCAACATCTTTGGTGCGTGTATCTTGCACCTAACATTCTTGATAAAGACATCCACAAGGCTACCATTCGGTTAACAAGGAACTGTGCTTTCCATGTTGATCATCTGTTTCAACTCTGATAAAGAATATTACAAAAGTAATTTTCTCAATCACACTTCAAGAAAATAAAAAAATTTAATTTCAGGATTTTAAATTTGATCCGAAATAGTTTACAACTAAAATACATGATAAAGATGGTTTTTTTTTTTAAATTTTTTAGTGTTATTTTTCAATATGTATGTAATACCGAGGAAAAGACATGGCACTTGAAAATGATAGACCATTTAAATATTTGGACTTGCAACTTGAGTTCCAAATCTTAAAAGACTTTTTACTTCACAAATACAAGGTACGCTTTGACAAGCCACTCCTATACGTTCATATCTCAATTTGAGCACTCGAGAGACCTTTTATCCGTATCATATACGGGAACAACAGGGATGACTTCCTCAGATGTTGCTTCCCCTTCTTCCTCATCTTCAATTCCGACCCAGCCAGTAAATGCAAAAAGAAACTCCTTGAAATTCACCATTCCATTTTTATCCCAGTCCATCTCTTCTGCAATAGAAAAATATAAAATTTACCATCATTGTTTATATTTGCAAGCAAAAGAGTTTTAATTCTTTGCTCAACGGAGGATATACAAGGGTATGTGTTTGGAGCAAAAAGGTTGTCTATGAAATTTAATTTACAAATGTATACTTAATTTAACCATGAGAACTAAAATTTAACTTCAAATAAATTTGGATTCAAGCTCAAAATAAAGTTTAAATGACAGTTTAGTTCTCTGATACTTGACCTTGCTGCAATTTAGATCATGTTATTTTTAATTATTTTGGTCCTATGACATTTTATCTAAAATTGTACTTTACTCTTAAAATTATATATCTTAAATTTCATTGACTTCTTAAGTTGAATTTTCATTTTTCATTGTTGAACTAAGTATATGTTTATAATAAAACTCTAGGAGTAGTAAATCTGCACCAAAGATATCGTAAGAATTTGATGACTTGCTGTTAGCATGCTGAATATATAATACTTGTTACGACAGGATACTTGTGCTTTTATGAAGAATCAAAGAGAGGGTGAGGGAGAAGGAGAGAGGTAACTGACCAAATCTTTTGAGGGCGATTCTTCCTGAAGAACGTTCACCTGATTCATTTATGGCTTGAACCATCTCATTCTTGCTTACATAACCATCCTTGTTCTGGTCTAAAAACACAAATGTGTCGACCAGTGTCTCAAATGTTGCCTCCAATTTTGGCATCCCCATTCTCGATTTCTAGCTCTGTCATGGACAAACTAGAAAGACAAGTTCCACAGGCCCAAAAGAGACTCAAAGACAATGATAAATCTTGCAGACTCATTCCTAAACAGATTAAATCATCATCAACATATTCAAAACAGGACATGTCCAAAAATATTTCCCATGGAGTACATGTCTTAATGTTAACCCAATGCATCTGTGTCATGAAACACCACAAAAAAAAGAGTATGTGCAAGTTATTTGCCAGCCAGCGCCATGATGGAGACATGAGAAAACAAGTTACGAACAAGACTACAATAATAAAAAAACAATTGGAAAGACCACAAGTTGCAGGTACTGTAACAGAGGCTTGAGAAAACAAGTTATAATCAAGACTACTACAACCATAGAAACAATGCAAAGACCATTATGATAGGGTGGAATACGACAGATATGTATATATGACTCACAGATAAGTAGATAGTTGCTGGTAGCCATGTACTAATATAGATATGGATATCTAAGTGCCGATAGTCAGACATGGGAGAACTTTTGTAAACAGCCCATTGGATCTGTTTGGAAGGAGGGAAGGGAAAAGAACATGTTTATTTAATAATCATGGCAAATATTAGTATTAGTTGAGATTGGAATATTATATTGGATCAAAATTACTCAATAAAAAAATTAATAATTTACTTTTGAGGACTAAATTACTCTCGATTTTTCTCCTCTCCTCTACTAAACGATCCCTTAATGTAAGATTTTCTAAAATCTATGACTTGAATAGAGTGATCATGTGCTAGCTAACAAAACTTCCATGTAAAGTTACATATCATGTTGTGGATACAGAATGAAGAGCAGCAGGGTCATCCTTGAGAAGATAGACAAGACAAAGAAGGACAATGAATTCATTGAATTTCATTCCCATATCTTCATTAATATCACATGCCTGAAAGAGATCATCTATTTCCTCCTCCGTGAAAGAAATTTCCAGCTTCTGGAAACATTTTTTTAGCTCTTCATGATCGATTGCGCCATTTGAATCCTCATCTACAAAGCAACACATCAAACACATAGCTCTACAAGTTACTGAAAAAGACTACATATAACTTCCCTTTCCGGAATGACTTGCATTGTATTTGATTTAGTTTTCATTCAATTCCTCCTTTTAATCCTCCTATTAATCTTAATATGCATAATTTCTTGTATTTGAGTTACTAACAACTCTACTGAAACTCGTTCCTGGTGAAAATTAAACCCTCGCTTTGAAAGGTAACGAATTGATTTCCACTGCCAAGAAATTTAAGATGGTATGGTGGTAACTTAAACATAATAAAGTATGCTCTTATTATACATACTAAAACTATTATAAAAATTTACCAGGAAGAGATTAATCCTTTAAGTTTTTCAATTTGCTACAGCTCAGTCATCTTATATGAAAGGGGTCTATGCAAATACAAAATGGGTAATTCATTTAATAGAGAAATAGAAAGAAATGAGTTCTTACCAAATTTCTCAAAGATTGCTTTGCAGTTTCTTAAGCTCTCATCAATTTTTGGGAATTTTAAGATAATGCTGTTAAATGATTTCATTGCAGTTCCTTGAGATGCTCTCCTCTGCATAGCTTCAACCATTTTGGCCTCGAGCTTCGTTTCTGGTATCCAAACCTGTCTTGGTGATTTGGGTTTCCCCAGTGTGCCTCCCATTGCAGTTATTAAGAACAAAAAACGAGCTTCCTTCACGTCCTGACATGAAAATTACTTGTCACAGATGCAATCATATTGAAACAAGACAATGAAGCAAGATGAAGAAAATTGTTTTATTAACCGTGAAGATGTCAAAATCACTGTAACTAGTTTTTTAATCTGAAGGTAAAGAACCAGCATAAGCTCTTCTTGGAGGACACATACACAAACATACCACCAATTCGCTTGAGTCTGATTTTGCCTAGGCGCACCCTTAAGCAAAAGACTCAAACCCAAGCAAGAATGCTGGAAAATATAATGGACTGCTGTATTTTTCTTTTCATGTATTTTCCTATTTGCACAGAAAAAGATCTTGCAAAGGATTCAGGTTGAGCTTGTTCAAATCTTTAATTCAATGGAAAATTAACAAAAAACGATAAAAACCAGACAAAGATTTAAATGAAATATAGCACTCTAATTCCAAGTCAATTCCATGTAGAATTCAAGTTAGTTACTTTTGTTATTTTTCTTTACTGACAAGCAAGAATGCAAGCCTATTACTATAAAATTACAGATATGACTATAGTCCATTTAATTACACATCAAATATATAAACTATGACTAACTTCTAGTATTTGCATGGAAAGAAAAAGAACTGAATCAAACATAAAATACGTATCAGAAGTATAAATTCAAACTCAGATTATTCCTATTCAGGATTATGCATATGATAATCTACATTCCTGGTATATTGTTCAACTTTGCTAAGCCCAACATCTGCATCAACATCATTGAGGCTTTTGTTACCATAAAGGTTGATTACTTGAAACTTAAGTGACAGACAAAGGATCAATTTATTGAGGAAAACAAAAGAGAGACACATAAAATTTTGAAAAAAATGGAGGTATAAATACAATTACCTTTCTATTAGTCATTGGCGTTTTAAGTTCAATATTTTCTAAATCCAAATAGCAGAATACTATATACTATTGAGACAAGGAGACAACCAGATCAAATAATAGACCCACATCATAACTTTGCATTTGACATATTTTTATGTGGGCTGAGGAAGAATCTAATCGAGATTGTAATTAATTTAAAAAGGAAACAAAAAGGTCCTCCTTTTTGTCCCCCCAAATTCTTGCATAAAAAATTTTATTTCAGTTGAAAATTCCCCAACAATCCCTTTATTGAAGAATTAAAATTACAACATGTCTTGACAAAAATAGAAGAAATTATAACTCATGATTAAGAAAATGGAAGTTTGAGCTCTCACCAGGAAAGAGAGACCCTTTTTCCCAGGATGTTGCAGCTAAATGTCAAACCAGATTCACTAGGAAATCAATCAACGGATCAGAAATGATCTATCTCCTCACCCCAAATCAAGAAACTCTAAAACCAGAAGCACCCAGTATAGATATAATGACAAAGAAGACCCGAGAGAGAGAGAGAGAGAGAGAGAGAGAGAGAGAGAGAGAGAGAGGAGAGAGGTGTTTGTTTACAGATATTTTCACGTAAAGCTGACCATCAAAAAGGAAGAAGACGTAGAAGAATAAGGAGACAAGTATAAAAAGAAAAGAAAGATACAGAAAGATGAGGAGGCCCGAGAAGTGAGAGAGAGAGAGAGAGAGACAGAGAGAGAGTTTTGTGGTGCAGCCTCCACGTATTGTGGATCTAGAAAGCTTTCTTCTTCTGTCCTCAACGAACAAATCTCTGTGACTTCTCCCACATCGATCAAAAATTTTAAAAAATAAGTAGAAGGATCTTGTTTTGGGTTGAAAATGGTCACTAATTGTCTTTTTTTTATTATTTTTTCTTTAGTGGAATATTAGATATGGCCCCCATGTACGCCTATGATGATAGTATACAGTCGAAGTTAATTTATATTACATAATGATATCTATATATTAAAATATATATATATTCTTTATTATTTGTATTAATTTAATAATAAAATAATTAAAGTTATACGAAGAGATTATAACAAAATGCAATATGATATTAATATAAATGTTTAAAAATACTTTTATTTTTTTTTTCAAAAAATGTAAACATAACTTCGCAATTCAAAATTCAATTACGTTTCACTAAAATTTAATATTTTCTTATTCTTAAAAATTAATATTTTGTAAATTAATACAAAAAATAACATTAACTTGGATTTTGTAAAGACTAAAAAAGATATTTATTTGGGTAAACAAAATTATTTATTTGAAATATACTATAAAGTCTTGAAGTAGTGGGCCAGGCCCATTTTATTTACTGGGTTTTAATTTTTATTATTAATGTATTTAAATATAAATTTTCCAATTAAATACACCAACGGATAAACATCAATTGGATATTTTTAGGGAAAAAAATATTAGGAATTAGAATAAATAAATTGTGTCGTGGACCAATCAAAATGCTCCACGTAACCAGCTTTCGTGGCACAGAGTCACCGCCAAAGTGCCGTACACCCTAATGCTTCCCTTCCCTTTCCCTTCTTTCTACTCTGTGTCACTTTTTGATTCTGTAACTCTCTGCACCAATTCCAAAGAAAACCCTAATCTGACTGACACACGCAGGTTGTACCATTCTTCTTCACACTTCACTTCTTTACTTTGTTTTACATATAATCTCATATATTTTATATGAATTATCATGGTGTTGCTTATCGATTTACGCGTTCTCTGTTTGTTGCCTTGTTCTTTTTTTTTTTTCTCCACCCAATTGTTTCTGATGTTTGGTATCGGTTCGTGTTCTTGATTGATTGTATGTTCTCGGGATTGGATTCTGGCGTTAATACAACGATTTTTCGTGGCTGACTCCGAAGATAGTTGTTTGTGATAGTTTTTTTTTTCACTGTATTTTATCTTGTTCCTGAATTTCGTTTCTGCATGTTATCTCGTCTAGGAATAGAAGAAATAATGATGGTAGGGCTAATTACGTTTATCTACTTCGTTTGATATCGGGAGTGTTGGATTTTTTTTTTTTTGGGGGGTGAGGTAAGGTGGTTAGTGGTGTCCTGCAAGCTTTTTGAGGTTAGGGATTTGAGTGGAACTAATTTCTTATATGTCTTATTTAGGGTTTGAAGTTGGGTTGTTACTGGGAGCTAATTGAGCTATCCTGTAATTTTCGTAGACTTAATTTCTTGAATGTTTGGTGTTGATATTTTCACATCGCCTCCCAATTCTGGGAAAGGCTGGGGAATTTTAATGTTCCGCTGACAGATTATGAAACATGAGTATAGCTCGTTAATGTTGGATTTTTATGTTGGATAAGTTGATGGAAAATTCGTGTCTTATGGAGTTCTAAGTAGTCAAAAAATTATAATGTAATTAATATTGATCGTGCCATGGGAATGTCACCTGTTTGGTTGTTTAGATAAATGGCTAGTGGGAAAAATTTTGTATCGTTGTCATAGCTTAAATTGATTGGTCATTTTGTATTTTTGTGGTGTGTATTCGGTTTTGTCGATTGGGAAAGAATTAAACATTCGTTGTGGGACCAGTTAATGGTCAATGAATGCTTTTGATATCTTTGTTCAGTTGTCTTGTTTTTAATAAATAATTTGGGACATTTTTGGCAGTTAGGACCTTTGTTTACTTGGAAGTTGCAATGGCTTCAAAGCGGATCAACAAGGAGCTGAAGGACCTGCAGAAGGACCCTCCTGCATCATGCAGTGCTGGTTTGTTACTCTGCTTCCTTGCTCCATGCCTATTCTCTACCAAATTCCCCTGCTTATGTGTGAGATCTTCTTGGGAAGTGAATTAAAATTTGCATAACAATCCCCTGCCAAATTGTCCTACTTGTGATCGAAGAGAAGGAAATGAGATTGATTCCTTTAGGCACTTAACAAGTACATGCATAAACATGTGGAGTTTTTAATTACTAAATAAATATGTATTGACAGGTCCTGTTGCTGATGACATGTTTCACTGGCAAGCAACAATTATGGGTCCCGCGGATAGCCCATTTGCTGGTGGTGTGTTTCTTGTTGCAATTCACTTCCCACCTGATTATCCATTCAAGCCACCTAAGGTAACAAATGGAAACATTTAGTTATTTTGAAGTTTTTGGTTCCCTCAGATGGAACTGCAACATTGCATAATTTATTTTGCACATACAGTTATCTCACTTACTACATCTATTTGGAAATTAGAATGACTTACCAATATTTTATATGGCAATTCTTCACAAGTGTTTCCTACTTTTGATTGACTCATCTGTACTTGGGTTTGGCATTGATCTCTATTGTGGTTTAAATAGGTTTTCCTTTCTTGGGTTTGGCATTGATCTCTATTGTGGTTTGAATAGGTTTCATTTCGCACAAAGGTTTTCCACCCCAATATTAATAGCAATGGTAGCATTTGTCTTGACATTCTGAAGGAGCAATGGAGTCCTGCCCTTACCATATCCAAGGTAATATAAAATTTCTAAATTCTTTTATTTTTACTTTTTCTAATCATCTATGGTTAACATGTAAATGCTTCTTGTAATCAGCCTCATCTTTTACTACCATCTAATATGAAATTACGTTTTGGTTACTAAAATAGTTTGCTCTACTCTGTCATGTCTTTTTATCCCATGAGAGAAGTTTGTTACTCATGCAGCATTTTCTATCTGATGATATTACATTTGCATCTTCTGTACAGGTTCTTCTGTCGATATGTTCACTGCTTACGGATCCAAATCCTGATGACCCTCTGGTGCCGGAGATTGCTCACATGTACAAGACTGATAGGGCCAAGTATGAGACTACCGCTCGATCCTGGACCCAGAAATATGCAATGAGTTAAGAATGCTATGCTTGAGGGCTTATTATCTTTTGGTCATATTAGTAAATTATAGGAAATAAGGTTGTCTGGATATAAAGAAACTGCTTTACTTAGTCAATATTTTCTCTTTGGTCATGGAAAGTTATATAAGGGTTCACTTCAAACGGGTAAACGATCACAGTAAACATGAAGTTTGGTGGAAACATAATTTGTTTTGCCTTCTTTGAGAGGATGTTTTGGTTTGGCCTAGTTTCTGTTCGGATCAGCTTATAAGTTGATTTGATCCAAATATAAGTTAATTGGTGTTTGTTTTAGGCTATCCAGCTAAGATTATAGGCAAAATGTCTTTATACGCGTCCAACAAGAAAGTACAAATATGTCTGTATGGACATGATTTTGGTGAAAGAGCCTGGTTTGTTGTTTCAAATTTGCGCCCATAAGTGAAACTGCTGACGGGTTAGATACTGTTTTAGCAATTTACATATTCAAAGCCACAACTATTTTCAATAGGCATGGTCTCTGGGTAATTGACTGTAAGCCTAGTGGGTATTTTATGACGGAAAAATAAAATTTATAAATGAGTTATTTATTTTAAACAGCTTTTTGGGTTTCACAGAGTTGCCAAGGGTGTGTGCGCTTTTAATAAATTTGGGGCCGTAGATATAGATCTGTATGTATAGCCCATGATGGTATTTATAAAGGATTTATGGTTTGAAATAAGTAATGTTTAAATTTAATTGAATTCAATTCACATGGATTCAAAGCTTGTCAATTCTAGTTTGGGGAAGAGTGGGCGAGTTGGGATGGTTACGGTTGACCTTAAAAAATCCCCTTGGATTTGTTTAACAAGACACGGACTGTAGGACAGGGTCCCCCCCCCCCCCCCCCCCGCACATGGTAGGTGGGTGTGTTTTTGCATTCAAGTCCCTGGTCCTCGGTCCCTCTCTGCTTCATTGTTTTGTAGTGTGTGTGTGTGTATATATATATATATATATATATATAGTTTTTAACCTGGTTTAAATTGGGAAAATTTTGTACATAATATAACCGATAGCAGTAAAAAATACCCAAAAGAAAAAGAAAGTGCAAAGTATGAGGAAGAGTCAAAAAAATCCATTGTTGGCGGTGTGGGAGTAAATTGGGGGAAGGGAGAAAGGACAGTAAGAAATGGCAGTGTGTTAAAATTATGATACAATCACAGAGGCAGAATAAGAAAAAGAGGATCCACCAAAAACGACAGTCGTATATGGTATTTTGCAGCACTTGTTCCCTGTTTGTCTTTTTTTTTATATATATATATATTTTCTTTGTTCTTCATAATTTTTCTTTATAGAGAAATGGGTTTACTCAATTTATGGGGAATATTATGGGTTATTGTTTATATTACAGTTTCTATTTTTTTATTTATTAAATATGTGAGAATAAATTAAGAGAAAATACACGGCAGAAAGTATATATATATATTTTTTTTTAATGATAAAAAAATTTGTCAATTTCTTCTTGGACACTTCAAGAAATCGCTATGCATACATTGCTGCTTTGTATTTAATGCATGTATTCCAAAGTCAGATCCAAATACGCAAAGCAAATGGTTTAAAGAAAAGTGAAAAATAATAAATGAGATTACCAAATAAACCGAACAATTCCGTACTCCACCGTGTTTGTTGTCGGTTCAGCTCTGTGTCGGCAGACGTACTCCGCTGCGTACTTTTTTGGACCCACCCCCCTTAATTAATTAAAGCTTAATCCTTCCAGAAAGCAATCTTAATTATTTATTAATTATGATCTTTTTTCCTTAAATCTTTATTAATTAAATCAATCACTTTAATAAATTATATTGATCGATATATTTTATGATTAAATTAAATTAAATTATTAAGAACTTTATAGCAATTTCCTATTATGTAAAATTATATTTTTCGCAGTTAGATTTAACTGCTATAGAAAAAAAAAAAAAGTTTACAGAATTTCGAAATTTCCCAATTAAAAATCATTCAAAATTCTAAAAGTAATTTAAGTTAATAAATTATGAAAAACGTGATGTACAAAAGTTGCATAATAGTAAAAATTAAAATTTGACTTTTTTGTTGGAGAATGGGTAAAAAAAAAAAAAAAAGGGTTGAATCATGCATGCACCAAATCATGAATTTAATTAATTACAAAATGTACAATTCAATTCAGAAAGATAAAAGAATTTAATTTATTAATGTCTTAGTAGAATGGGATTAATTAGATTTGTTAAATTTTAAAAAATTTATTATATTTATTGTAATACCTTAAAATAAAATTGTACGTAAAAATTAATAAATATAATTTTTTAACTTTTCTAATTTGATTTAGAGTAAAAATTGAAGGAGTATGAAATTGAAAATAATTTTGAGAAAAAATGGTGAAAATTTGAGTTATGTGGATATTTTTAAAAGAAAAATCAGAAACCAGATGTTAAACTGCAATTTAAGAAAGTTATGCAACGTGAGACGCCCGGTCAACAGCTCCAATCAATCAGGACGCGCTATGTGGCAGCAGCGGACACTAACGCGGTGCCATGCGGGAGGCCACGCGGGCGATCTGCGTGCCTGCGATCGAACGGACTAGATCCATTTCCACGCACACAGACGGCTCAGATGCGTTCCCTCCCCAAACGTGATCGAACGACCAGATTTGAACGCGATTGGACGGTCCATATTAGATCGCGATGGACGGCATAGATTGGATCGCGATGAACGGTCCAGATTCACTCCCTTTTTAATCGCGATCGAACGATCTAGATTAAATACGATAGACGGCCGAGATCAAAAGCAGACATATATAAATAACCCTCCATCCATACCAAACTCTAACCCTAACCGCCAGACCCCCTCGTCGGAGAAGAAGACCCGGCTGCCAGGAAGGAGATCGTCGTACCGGAGAGCCTCGCCGCCGATGAGTTTCGATTTTTTATGTTTTTTCGGTCAATCGATGCCTTTTAACGTATTTTCTCGTAGGGATCGATGCAGAATCGGTCGAAAATAGTTGATCCGAGGTGGATCACCACCGTGGGCGGCGGCGTCGTCGCTGGAGCACGGCGGAGCCGCCATATCGGAATTCCAAATTTGGCTAAGTGGGGCATGGGACTGATTTTGGGTCTGTTTGAGATATTTATAGATACTGTTAGTGCGTTTTATTTCCTGAAGAAAAATTTAAGGAACCCGAAAATCGCCTGTAGACACAGTCGAACAACTTAGTTTTTTGGATATCAAATCGAGTAAGGATCCATCACCCTATTCCCTATCATATAATTGAACTATAAATAAATAATAATACAATATTTGTGTGAATTCAAAAAATGTGCATAATTAATTACGGATTACTAATGGAGCCATAATCGAAAATTCTCTACTGTTGCTTTATTAATTGTTTTACAGTTTAAATGTATGCTGGTATCTTATTAATTGATTTTATGTGTTTATTGCTGAATTAAGAAAATGAAGGTTAAACGGTAAAAATTATGTGATAAAATGAATAGATGAAATGACAGTCTTACTGGATATCGTGGGAGATGGTAGACGGACCGAGTATATAGGAAATCTTAGTATGAACATTGTCTCATACTGGACGGGGTATGGGAACTTGACAATTTGGTGTTCATACCGGACGGGATATGGAGATGGCTCGTTTCACCCTTATACTGGACGGTATATGGAGATGGCTCGTTTCACCCTTATACCGGACGGCGTATTGAGGTTTGATAATTGGTGCTCATACCGGATGAGGTATGGAGACGGTCAGTAATTGAGAATGTTAAATAAAATAGTTCACGTGTAGCGGGGACATCCCTATGAATCTCTACAGATACTAGTAGCTTGGTAAAAAGAGTGACAATTATTATTTGATTTATTGATGATGGATATAAAATTATAATATGTGCTATTTACCGATTATATATGAAATCATTATCTGTATAATATTATTGTCAGAATAGGTTGTTTTTATAAATCCTACTACGGTGAGTGGACGGTAAATAATTTTATGATTGATAAATGAATTTGCTAAATTTAGTGCTTTATTAGTATTTTTTTTTTATTTTCTACCAACCTTTACTTATGTGTCGGTGATATAGTATAATGTCCTTATTAAACTGGTGTAATTCATTCATTATTTAACCATTTCATATTAAGAGAACCAAGTTCCAGAATTCGAACCGCAAGAAGATTGCGAGTAGATACTAGTTTTCTTTATTTTTTATTTATTTCCTTATTTCTTGTATTTTTTTTAAATTGAATTATGCAGCCCCGTTTGATTCTTTATGTTATCGTGTAGTGAATGTAAACTTTGAACATTTATTACGCTTCCGCACTTAATTTATAATTTATTTTATTTGAATATTTCTGAAATCGTTACATTTATCATATAAAAGAAATTACGTGACATATACATTTATTTAGTTTGAGTAATCATAAGGAATTGAAAAACAAAATCTAACATTGTTTTCTTAATAAAATAGTAATTTGTAATTACTCTTGTTTGGATAATTTTATAAAAATATATAGGGTAAAATTGGGCGTGACTATTGTGTGAAAAGTGGAAGTGTAATGATGGTATTATGAATTTTAAAGATGTTAATAATATATGATTTGTATTACCAAATACTCATCCCTAAACATATTATAATTTAATACCATATGGGAACCATTTGAATCAATTAAAAATTATTGAATTTACATACCCCATAACATATATTTAGTGTTTTTTTTTTAAATAATATTATTTACAAGTTTGATGATAGGTATTTATACTCTTTTTTATATAGATATTGATTTGATAATAAATTGTATGTGCTCTCATTATATTTATATTAGTATTACTATGTGTATATCATTTATATCTATATCTATATATATTCATATGCATGTATGTAGGAATCTTGTATTTTCTTACACTTACTTTTTTTTCACATGAGAATTATTCATACACATTGTTAAAATGTACCAACAATGTTTTTTTTTTAATTTAAATATTTTTTTCTATTTTTCACACAATAATAAAGAAAAAAAACTATAAGATGTCATCGTATTTTATAAAATATACAACGAGAGCATTGTATATTAAAAACATCTTTAACTATATGTATATTAATCTATTAATTAATTAATTGAATCATATTTAATTTATCGTATATATAACGGATTAAAATAGATTGACAACTATTAGTTTCATTTAATACCTGTATTATAAATATTCAATATTAAATAGACAAAATTTATTTAATATACACAATATCTATCTATATATACATTAATTTTTAATATATCTATTCAACACTTTACTTATATAAATTTAATAATAATTAAATGTTAAATTAATTTCATATTGCGAATCAAATATCAAAAGTGGTGTAAGAAAATAATTTCATATTTGTGCTCATAATAATTACTTTATTATAGAATAAACTGAATTATTTATTTTATTTTAATTATTATTATTAAACTAACAATTCATTAATTTAATATTATAATATTTTTATTATATAGTTAAAGGTTTAATTTCGCTTCTTATTTCTGCCATATCTCAAAAAAAAAAAATTTAGAGACAAATATATACGTATACATTCAAAGTGAGTTCATAAATGTATCTTATAACTTTTTATATATATATATATATATAACAACTAAATAATACATAATAAAATAAATTACAATTAATCTAGAAAAACATGTATTATGTATTATAACATTTAAAAATTATAAGGAAATATAAAGAGTAGAATCCAATATATAAAATAATAAATAAAAAAAGGAAAAGGGAAAAAGGTAAATTTCAGAGTTCTTTCCACGCATGCATTAAAAATTCAAGAATCAAACTTGAACCAGCGTCGCGTCAACCTCGGGACCCAAAAGTCAACCCAGTCAAACATTCACGAGATTTATATTCTTCCTTAAAAGCCTTCAAAACGGCGTCGTACCGGATTTAGTTGAGGAATGGTATTTACCCCCCCGTGAGTTACTGCTGTAATTTTTTTTTTTTAAACTTTTGGAAAAGAGAATCTTGAAAAGGTGAAAAACCTCGAGACCCAAAAGTCAACCCAGTCAAACATTCACGAGATTTATATTCTTCCTTAAAAGCCTTCAAACGGCGTCGTACCAGGTTTAGTTGAGAAATGGTATTCACTGCCCCGTGAGTTTACTGCTGTATGTATATGTATATGTATATATATATATATATTTTTTAAAAAACTTTTGAAAAAGGGTATCTTGAAAATGTGAAAAGGAACGAGAGAGAAAAGGAAAAAAGGGAAAATTCAAAAGGGTTTTGTTTACTGGTGGAGGTTTTGTCAGTAGTGGGTTAATTCTATATAAGTATAGGGTGTGTGTGTGTGTATGTATAGGAATGTCTCCAGAGGCAGATGGTTATTTCCCAACATATTTAATTATATTTTTCAAGATGAAAATGACAAATAACTGCAGCATTTCTTGGGGTATGGTTCATTTAATTCATGAGGTAAGGTCACTGTCTTATTGACATCTGACTTCTCATACGACGTCGTTTCTCTGTCCTCTGTCTCTTCCTTCCTCTGTTTCCTTTTGTTTTCTTCTCCCATTTTTATATATATATTTTTTAATATACATACATATATATATAAAAAGCCTCATGAATTAATTAATTTTGGATATTTAATAATATTAATTAGGCAAGAAGGATTTTTACGTTTACCTTCTTCTTTGTCACTCTCTTCAGTTGCTCTCATTCTCTTCATACGTTCCTCTCATCCTTTTTTACACACTCTCCCATCCCAAGATGACATGGACCACCTTTTCTATCTATGCACACATATATATTGACAACCAACATGTTATATATATCCTCCCTCCTTGTACTATTATACAATGCATGCTTGTAGCTAAATCATATATATATACATATTAATTATAATATAATTTTTTAATAAATACAAACAAAAAATATATAGTGAGTATTAAACCAACAATCCCTTATAAATAAAAAAAAATATTAAATATTCAACTAATAGGAAGTTAATTTTAATAATTTATTTTTTACTAAAATTTTAATTATATATTATTTAAGAATATGATAAGCGATGAATTATATATATATATATTTTATTTATTATTTAAAAAAACGATAAATAACGAATATCATCTATAAAAATTATAATTATCACTTAAGATGCCGATAAATATAGATTCATTTATTTATTTTTGATGTAATTTATGTATTTAAACAACGTTGGTTAGTTAAATAAAAAATTAAGATGAGAAAATTAGATGAATATTTATTTTTTATTTTTTTTTCAATTTGAATTTATTCTTATTTTTTTTAATTATAACAATCAAGAAAATATTTCTAACATTATTATGAATTGAGGTAAATAAGTTTTTGGGAATTAACTTTATTTTATGTTCAAGCTCTCAAGAATTTATTGCATATGAAATATTTATTTTAAATAATTTAAAACACATTTTATTGGTCTCGTCAATTGCTTAAATATTTTCTTCTACCACGTTAGCAATTCCTCACTTTGACATCAATAATGTATGTGTGCGTGCGTATATATATATGTACATATATGTTAAATTGAGATATACGATGATGGATGTAGACAGGCCACCATGTATGACTTTGTTGTTTGCATGGTGGATGGTGGATGGTGGATGGTGAAGTCATGGCTCATGAATTAATATGCGAACCCATCATAGATCGCAGACCTAACTACGTACTCCACCATCTTCGATAATTAATTACAAAATGTATCTCCCCATAATTAATTACCTTGTAGTACTGCCATCAATACAAACAGATACATACATATACGTGTGTGTGTGTGTGTGTATGTAGAGGTCAGCAGAGCGCTGATACCAAAAAGAAAGCAAAGCAAATGATGGGACCATGATGCATGGATGGGATGGGATGGGATGGGAATATGGGATGGTATGAGACTGGAGGAGGAGGAAGAAGAAGAAGAAGAAGAAGAAGAAGAAGACAGAAGTGTATGTATTAATGGCGGAAGGAAGAGTTAAAAATAAAACGAATAATTACTCAATGAAATAAAGCAAACGAGGGAAAAAAAAAAAAGAATTTTAGTGGGGATTTATATACATATGATGGATGATGTGATGTGACCTTTCCTCATCTCATCATCATCACCATCATCATCACCAACAACAAACAAATACATTCATTAAGACACTGATCAGTTTCTATATATATATATATTTATGGTGGGAATATGTGGGAGAGATTTATGAGATCAGAGGTTGAAAGCAGTGAAGTTGCAGACCGAACGACGTCGTCTCGTAGCTGATTAAACCAACGTCTGGCCACCAGCCAACAATGTTGGTCAAACAAAAAAGATAAATAAATAACAAACAAACAAAGACGACATTCTTGTACGTGAATTTTCCCCTTAATATTAAAAAGATGTTTTTTTAAAATTATAAAATATTTACGTGTTAATTTTATTATTAAATTAAATATAATAATATTTACTTATAATTAAATGGTTAAAATTATTAAATAAATAAATAAATAATACCCATGGCCTAGTCAAGGGGGGGGAACTAACCAACGACCAACCTACTTTTTTTTTTTTTTTTTGGGTGGGTATTTGACTTGTTAAATTAAATATACTCAAATTAATTAATTAATTTTTTTATTAATATTTTTGAAAATAAAATAAAGTCAGACCTCAAAATTTTATGAAAATAATATATATTAAAATTTAAAAATAAAAATACATTTTTTTTGGGTGTAAATTACTTGAAAGTAGGTCAGAGGAATATTGTTATTCCGATTTCCTAATCTTCTCAAGTCACTAATTTAATTTGTACGGATCACTTTATCACATTTAATTGAGTATTAATTACCAAATTAAATTAATTAATTAATTAATTAAAAAGTAACGACAAACAGCTAAAAAGGTAATAATCGGCACGCCTCTTCGTTTCCCTTTTCCTTCTTTAATTAATGTTTAACTCACTGGACTCGGCCTAACTCACTCGTTCTCCAACGCCCAAATATCGAATTAATTAATTAACTGATAATTAATAATTAATAATCAGAACTCCAACAAGATTAATTAATGGAAAATTAAAAAAAAAAAATGAAAAGCAAGAAAGTGACACGTAAGCAAAGGTGACGTTGACAGCAAAGGAGTCCCTGGAAGGTTCAGGGGAGGTAAAAGTGTAAATAACCAAAAACCCAAACCTATCAGCTAAAAACACAAGAGAAGTACAAAAGAGAAAAAAGAAAGCGAATATAACACGCAGCAGTAGCTCAAGAACGCAGGCCAAGGCACCATTAAAACCAGATCTTACATTCACTCTTCTCCTTTCTCCAGCTCATCCAACAATACTCACAGCTCTTACAAAGCTCTACTTTTTTCTTGTCTATTAACATTTGCTCGAGAAAATTTTGATCGGATTTTTCCTGTAAAATCCTCTTCACTTTCCCTCTCGGGCACCGGTTTAGCTTTGCTGCTTCTTGCCATTTCCTGAGAGATCCTTCCCCTTCTCAATCGATGGTTTGGCTATCCGCTATATTTCCGATTAGCGTTTTGGAAATTTGAGGGTTAGCATAATTGAAACTTCTTTTTTCTTTTTTTAAATTTATATTTTCCTCTTTGATCTTCTGGTGTGAGATCCATACGGTTGCTTTAATGGCATTGTTGAGATTTAATGCAGTTTTCAGTTATGAGAGCGAAATGAGAGAGAGAAACAGAGTGATGCCACAGATGCTATGCGTTTTGTTTAGGCTTGTTCCTATCGGTTTCTCTGTTCCCCGTGTTG